CCTTGATGTTTCGGGACCCCACTTTGGGTCACAACCCCATCTTTGGGAAACACTGATCTAACACACTCTGGTCTTGTTTATTAAATCAGTCTGAAAACAAGATCAAAAATCTAGTTTTAGCTGTATATAAGTTTATAAAACCTGGTTAGATGGACAGTTTTTTGCAGCGTGGTTAGTTTATCAGAAACACATTAAGGTTATTTCTCAGAATAGGACATCGTGTTTCTTTCTAAACCACAAACTGGTCAAAGTTGAAACAAAACCTAATTTCATTTACAGTGTTGTGAAATGATTAAGTTGAGCTTTAGAACATTTAAATGCACTTTATGTCAGTGAACAGAAGTCTGTTCATATCGAGGTGAATGGGGTACATCAGTACAGAACTGTGATAAAGCCTAAGTTTAAGTTGAGAAATTATGTCTGTGTAAAATCTACAGCATCTCAGCAGTTTGTGGGCCCCTGAGCTCACCCACTGAAAACAACCATGTTTGAATGCTGCCTCAGTGATAAGAAAAGAAAAGAAAATAAAAGAAAGGAAAAGATAAGATAAGATAAGATAAGATTTTATTGATCCTACAGTGAGGAAATATGCACATTCCTCTGCACTATACATCTCAGGAGCTCAGCTTATTACCACAGAAGGAATTAAATGTACTTTGAGTCTACTCTGTTAAAGCGCACAGCAGTGGGACGTGTARGTGTGATCTCACATCTGGGATGTGATCAATGTTTATAAAAAGGAGTAGCCCCAAAGGTTCGGGGGAGATCTTCACTAATTTGGACAGATTGATTCAGTCCAGGCTCTGATGTTTTTAAAAAAACATCCACTGTTCCAGAATAACATGTCTGCAGAGTCATTCTTTGATCATTACATCACTGCTGATACCGTGAAGACCCAGAAGAACATCCATGTTTAAGACACTTTAGTTTTAACAATTGTGGTCCTGGAAAACAATTTAAAGTAAAAGAAGTTAGTGCACTAAAATTAACACATTAAAAAATGATTTTTATTTAACAGGAGTAGCTTTGACTCAGAAATTCAGGCACAAAAAATGRTGAAGGCGGTAACAATAGATAATCAGAAGTAGACAAAAATGTAATTTCAAGAGATTTAAAATAAACAACAAAATAAACTGGTATCTTCTGAAAAAAAATCAAGTGTAACAAAATTATACTTATTTGTTTGTTGTAAGCATTGAGTTTGCTGGTACTTACGTTTTAGCTCTGTACATAAAAAAACATTAAAAATAGAAAAAAACACATTAGGTTACAAGAAAGTAAACGTAAAGYTGCTATATTAAATATTTCAGTCCAGGGACCTTGTGTATAAACGGTGCGTACGCATAAAAAAAGTTGTGCGCACCACCTGCTGTGAGAATGTGCGGCAGCCATGCAAATTTTTTCAGTCGACAGTTTTAACTCACAAAGTCAAAAATCTGACCTGAATCCACAGAAATATGACTTTGTTGTGTTTTCTGGATGTAAGGAGCGTCTGAACACCTGTTAGATTTTTTTGTTTCATTTTTATTCTTTAAACTCGAACGATGATGAAACTGAAAATCATTTAACCTCAGACAAGAAAATAGATCAGTCTAAAAATGATCAAAGAACCTCCAGTCTACTGTAAACTGTAAAGTGTTTGTATTGTTGTCATGTAGTTGGAAACACACACAGAGTGCAGGCCTGCAGAGCACACACAGCTGAGGGAAATAAAATGTGTGAATTATCTAAGAAACATTTTTAATTATAACTGAGAAAAAAAACATTTTCAACTCAGCATATTTAGCTGTGATGATTCCTCAGCTCCACAAGACGCAATAGATTTATTGTTGTGTAAAGTTGTGCGTAATTTATGGATCAATGTCGGCTGTTCRCAGTCCCACACTGTGGCAGAAACTCGCAGCGCTGAGTCCAACACATTCTCCCCCCGCGTCAACACGCTTTGTCAGACAGCCTTTTGCTTCCAGTTTTGATGCGCCGGGTACCCCCCCTCCCCCCGCGTGTCCGTTTTTCACGAGATGAGGCGGAGGAGGACGGGTGCGTTGTTCTATTTTTTTACAAGAGTAGGAAGTGCGCGTTTCTTCACATCAACTATTTAATAAATAATTTTCCAGGTTCTACAAAAGTCATCAGTTCCTCTGTGTTTACATTTATTAAAGACTTGTCCAGCCTCACGCGCCGCTGCAGCACACGTGCACACACACCTTTGCGAGTGGCAAACACATTTTTACACTCCACTCCTAATTATAGACAGTTTTCTCACTC